ATGTATATATATACATATATATATATGTGTGTGTGTGTGTGTGTGTGTGTGTGTGTGTGTGTGTGTGTGTGTGCGTGTGTATGTATAGCTTATGTTTATATATTTGACAAACATAAACCACCCGTGCTCCTATAAAAGAAAGATACAAGAAATAGATTGTGTTTATTATTATTATTATTATTTATTATTATTATTATTATTATTATTATTATTAAAGAATTAAGTTCTCCGCAATTTCTCATAACACCCAACTGGACAAAATTAATTATCCGTTGATTTCGAAGAGCCTTACTTTATTGTTTTAACTTTTATGCAGATATGGGGGATCGTGAGGTCACGTCGAACATGTTCATTGGTCTATAAAGCTGTCAATTATTATTATTATTATTATTATTATTATTAAAGAATTAAGTTCTCCGCAATTTCTCATAACACCCAACTGGACAAAATTAATTATCCGTTGATTTCGAAGAGCCTTACTTTATTGTTTTAACTTTTATGCAGATATGGGGGATCGTGAGGTCACGTCGAACATGTTCATTGGTCTATAAAGCTGTCAATCATATACCACAGATCCCCGCCCATAGTTCATGATGCCGCTGTGGCAGGGTCGGTTGAAGCGGATGGGGTCAGAGGCGGGCTACACGTTGACAGCTGGAGTATAAGGAAACATCGCAGACAAACTGGCAGACGCGTTTATATTCAGCGCAAGTCATGTTCGCGAAAGGTAAAGGGACCGCGGTGCCATCAGACGGGCAAGCTCGGGAAAAGTAAGCGCTGCTTTCTCTTTACTCACTTATTTACACGCACAGCTGATGTTGCGTTATGTTAAGTTGTCTCCTATAACATGTGATCTTGTTCGAGACATTCCAGTAATGTTATAGTGGAAACTGATAAAATGTGTTTTTATTCGCATTGAATCCCCCCCCCCCCCCCCCCCCCCCCCCCCCCCCCCCAAACACACTCACACACACACTTTATAAGAGAATGTCACCGCATTATTATTTGCAAATGTTCATGGTGATATCGATTGTTGTTATGGAAATACAGTATATAGATGCAGGCAGTCGTTGTAGAATGGCAACTGCAATGCTAATTTTTTAGGACAAGAATAAGACCATGTGGAAACAGACCAGAGAGTTTTATTGGATGGCATCTATTTACTGTAAGGCATCTGTTTTGATTGGACAGGTTGGCATTGTACGTCTATGAATATTTGTTACACGTGGGAGCTCAGAAATCTGCACAGACGTTTTTATCAGAGGTGTGTATGTACATATGTTTCTTTATTCTTAAGAGCATGTGTGCATGATCATGTACAATGTCTAATCTTGTTATGCATTGACTGTGTGTATTAAAGTCTTCTGTTGTCTGTTTTTATTATGTTTAGATAAGATGGGAGAAGAACATAACCCTTGGTGAACCACCAGGCTTTCTGCACTCTTGGTGGTGGTGTGTATTATCTGCATTCAGTAGTTGATCAGTATTTTGCAGTAATTGGAATCTTTACAATATGTTATGAAATTTAATCTTCGAGTAATTTAATGTAATGGATAGCAGGCAGTGACATTTCTGGAAAAAAAAAATCTAAAGGTAAAATCATTTTAATTTCAAAATTACTATTTTTATGATTTGACTGTTAATATTTGAGTTCTCTGAAAACCTAAGCATAATAAGATCATTTCAACACATACCCCGTATAGTCTTAAAGGAAGTAGTTCACCCAGAAATGAAAATTAGTTAAAAATTGAATTACCCTCAGGCCACTTAAAATGTAGATGTTTACTTGAAGGGGTGTGCATAAGACTGAAATGACACCTTCATAATCATGACATGACACCTACATAATCATGACATGACACATGTCATGACTATGAAGGTTTTTTTATGCATGTTTATGACAACTGTCATTAAGTGTCATTCGCTCAGTTATGTAAATTTTTATGCAAATATGACATTATTTGACCTAACCCTACCCCTACCCTTACCACTAACCATAGCTCATAACAAAGACATCTCAAACAATGTCATCTTTGCATTAAAAATTACATAACTGAGTGAATGACACTTAATGACAGTTGTCATAAACATGCATAAAACCTCCTTCATATTCATGACATGTGTCATGTCATGATTATGAAGGTGTCATGTCAGTCTTATGCACACCCCTTCAAGTAAAGTGTTACCATGTTTTTTAATGTACATTAATGTACATTACACCTTGCAAATGCAGTGAATGGGTGCCGTCAGAATGAAGGTCCAAACACAATCCACAAACTCCAGTCCATCAATTAACATCTTGTGAAGTGAAAAGCTGTGTATTTGTAGGAAACAAATCTATTATTAAAATGTTTTTAACATCAAACTGTTGCTTCCGGCTCGCATACAAGTGCATAATATTGCTTTCTCCACTGATAAAGTCATCTCGTCTGAATCAGGAGAGAAATATACACAGTACCGTACACAGCACTGTTTCCAAGAAACAGTCCAATACATTTCTAGACAAATATGTCATCGAATTGTGATGTGAAAGGACAACAGCGGATGGTCTTTTTCACTGGAGGAAGCATTATTATGGATTATGGACTCATATTTTGGCCAGAAGCAACGGTTTAAAGTTGAAATGTCTTAATGATGGATTTGTTTATTGCAATCACACAGCTTGTGGATTACTTGCTGTACATTACTTGGGGACTATTTTGATGTTTTTATCAGCTGTTTGAACTCTCATTCTGACGACACCCATTCACTGCAGAGGACCAATAGTGAGCATGTGATAAAACTAAATTTCTCCAAATCTGTTCCGATAAAGAAACAAATGCATCTACATCTAGAATGGCTTGAAAGTGAGTAAATGTTCAGCAAATTTTCATCTTTGTTGCTTTAATGTGCTTCCTTATTAATGTTATGATCAGCAAGTCCAACTATTGCGACATTGCAATATTTTCTCATTACAAACAATGCTCTCATTACACAGTGTGTTTTGGGACCTGTACTGTGCAGCACCTGAGAGAAGGGACACATGTGATCACTCCAGTGAAGCTAAGGCCTTCCATGACTATGTAAGTGATGCATGTTTATTTTAGCCTTTACTAGCATATTGTGATAGAAGAGGTCTGCTCCATGAGATGAACTCACTGAAATATATCTGTGGTGTGAAGCAGAATATTGATTACAATTATGAGATGGTGGCATATCTATTATTTTTGTTCTGGGTCAGCTTTGTTTATCTGGATTCTATTAAAGGTTAAAAGGTGGGCTATTGAATATCCTTTTCCGGATTTGCACAATTGATTTGAATTTGATTGTATTTTCTGCATGGCAGTGCCCAGTTGGTGTGAGCTTATGAACATTTCCCTCACATCATATGCATATTCTTGGGAATTAGGGGATTGGTATACTATAGCATACATGATGTCCAGTGAATATGGCTTGAATGTCAGAATATTGATAGTATTGTATAACAGTGTACAGTATATCGAGTGATTGTGTGTGCTGTACATGCTACCAGTACTCACTGCTGTGATTCCATAAAGTAACAAGCTCTAAAATCTGTCAATGTAAATCTTGAGTTGCACAAACCGCAACATGCATAATCACAACAAAGATGTTTGTTTTTTGAAAAATGTTTTACAAGAAAATTATATTTCAATCTTTCTATTTCAAAATTTTACATTTAAATTGTGTTACTTGCAGTTTCTTTGTAATTATTTGTGAAATGTCATCTTATTAGACTTTTAATGACATCTCACAATGACATCTTATTAGATTTGTAATGCTCTTTGTTTAGGTAGTGTCCCCCTCTATTCTTGATCATTGAGGTTACTTTGATGCATTGATCACAATGGCTTTGGGTTTGAACGTCATGAACAGAAAAACTTCTGTTGTTTGAAACAGAAACCAGTCTTACACAAATCTCCCTAAATCCTAGAGTTTTAAAATGCTGTACATGTTCTTAGGCTGGATTAAGTTGAGTAAGCTGTGAGGATTTATTTTGTAGTTGTGGAGCTTTGGTCCCTTCCACAACAGACTCTTATCAAGTTGCATAATTTTACTCCAATGCAATGGTAACAGAATTACAATTCACAGTAGGAACCCCTTTAAAATACTATAGAGACATAGACTGTCATTCGAAAGTTTGTTCAGTACATAATTTCTGAAAGAAATTAATGCTGTTATTCAGCACGGATGTATTGAATTGATCAAAAGTGATAGCAAAGACATTTATAATGGTACAGAAAATTTCTATTTCAAATGATGCTGTTCTCTTTAACTTTCTATTCATCAAAGATTCCTGAAAAACATTATGGTAAATATTACGCAGAACAACCTTTCTTTAACATTGATAATAATAATAAATGTTTCTTGAGCAGAAAATCAGCATGTTAGAAAGATTTCTAAAGGATCAAGTGACACTAAAGACTGGAATAATGGCTGCTGTTTTGCCATCAGGAATAATTTTAAAATATATTAAAATAGAAAACCATTATTTTAAATGGTAATAATATTTCACAGTATTACTGATTTTACAGTAATTATGATCAAATATATGCAGCCTTGGTGAGCGTAAGAGACTTCTTTCAAAAACATTTTTAAAATCTTATCAAACCCAGCCTTTTAAACAGTAGTGTAACTCAGCTTTTGAAGTTCGCTTTACCTTTACATAGTTATTTTTTCAGGGTGTGCAGTATAATATGGAAGGTTTTATCCATCTTTGTACCATTTTAAAAAGCAGTCAGTTCTCATGGGACCACCTGGCCCTTTAAAACCTGAAATGGTGGTTGATGTGGTGGGATGGGGGAGGGGAGCGTACAAGATCTGATAATGGTGAGGTCTCCTCTTGCTTTTTAGCTTTTTAACCCTGACGCAGCAGGAAAGTGTGTCACACACACCCCAACTCCCTTCAGGGCAACAAAATAAGAATAAAAACTGCCAGTAACCAGGCTAAGAACACAAACCTCTCCTTGGTAAAGTACATAATTCAGTAGTTTGACTTTGATGTCAATTAAATACTGGTAGAAGGTTTCTAGTCATATGTTGCTGTATATCAAGAATGTAGCATATATTGGAGGGAGTTGTTTTGCATTGTCACACTAGACTTGTCAGACTTTTTGAGTGAGCAATCAAAATGTTGGTTGGATCAACAGCTGAATGCAAAGGAGTTTGGTGGAAATCATTGATCTGGCTGTCAAATCTTCCCGCTGCTCTTTTTCCCTCACACCTTTGACGGTGATCTGGTAATCAGTGTTCACCTGATGGCCATTCAAAATGTGAAGTCCTCCAGTCCCCTGTGTGTTCTGTAATGATATTAACATGGATTGATTGCTTTGATCAATCAGAGGTTGAAAGAATCCAATGCAAGGGTCACACTTATGATCTTTCCTAAGGCCCTCCTCGGACACATCCACACACACATTTGTTTTTCTGTCACAATGGGATCATTCCATTGACTTCTATTGTTTGACTTTTTGAGTGAGCAATCAAAATGTTGGTTGGATCAACAGCTGAATGCAAAGGAGTTTGGTGGAAATCATTGATCTGGCTGTAAAATCTTCCCGCTGCTCTTTTTCCCTCACACCTTTGACGGTGATCTGGTAATCAGTGTTCACCTGATGGCCATTCAAAATGTGAAGTCCTCCAGTCCCCTGTGTATTCTGTAATGATATTAACATGGATTGATTGCTTTGATCAATCAGAGGTTGAAAGAATCCAATGCAAGGGTCACACTTATGATCTCAGTCCTTTGTGTTTCCTAAGGCCCTCCTCGGACACATCCACACACACATTTGTTTTTCTGTCACAATGGGATCATTCCATTGACTTCTATTGTTTATGTACTGAGCTAATAATAATATTTACACTCAATTAATACCCTGGCCTGAACATAACCCTCACTTTTTCAAGGGGTATGTACAATATGTCTGTTTGTTTGTTTTTATCAGTATAAATATTGAATATTTAACTGTGCAGATCATTTGATCTATTTTTACATTTACTTTATACATAGTCCTGCAAATGACATGCAGGGGAAAAGAAGAATATATTGGGACAATGAATTAAGAATGGGTTCCTACGACTTATTAATTTGTAAAAAAAAATAAAAATAAAAAATAAAGGGAACAAATTATTACAACATGGCCATGATTGAACTAAAACAAGGGAAGTACAACATTTAAAGTTTTAAAACATTGAAACAAACAAATGGCCGAATTAGTACAATGTGGCCACGGTTAAGTGGGAGCAAATTATGTTGAAATAATTTAAAGGGGTCATATGATGCGATTTCAAGTTTTCCTTTCTCTTTGGAGTGTTACAAGCTCTTGGTGCATAAAGAAGATCTGTAACTGATGGTAAAAAACTAACGACATTATTAACTGTCTTGATATTTACTTTGAAAGCTGATGCTCGCGATTATGGTAAGGGGCGTTACATTTCTGACACGTGCTTGTGGTGTTCGGCCAATCACAATGCACTGGGTCAGCTGGCCAATCAGAGCAGACAGCGCTTGTCAAAGGAGGGGGCTTTGTTGAAAACGACGTGTTTGAGAGAGGCGGGGCATAGAGGACCTACAATGATGTACAGTAGTTGAAAAATAATGTGTTTTTTGAACATTAAAGCATGTCAACATATTCTGTTATACCAAATACACAAAAGAATGATCTTTAAAATAGCATCATATGACCCCTTTAAAACAAAATCATGAACAAAACATTACCACAAATTAATGCCTTTTGATATAAAATTCTTAATTTGTGGCAAGTATGTATATTTTTTCTTCATGTCATGTACAGTGGGGAAAACATTTATTTGATCCCCTGCTGATTTTGTATGTTTCCTCACTTTTATGGTAGGTTTATTTTAATGGATAGAGACAGAATACCAACCAAAAAAATCCAGAAAAAACCCACATTATATAAAGATTAGAGATTGATTTTGCATTTCAGTGAGTGAAATAAGTATTTGATCCCCTACCAACCAGCAAGAATTCTGGCTCCCACAGACTGGTTATGTGCCCATGTGGAACACAGATTAGTCCTGCCATTTTAAGAAGTTACTCCTAATGTCAGCTTAGGTGTATAAAAGACACCTGTCCACACAATCTGTATCTTCCATTCCAACCTCTCCCTTGTCAGAGACAAGATTGTAGATCTGCACAAGGCTGGAATGGACTACAAGACCATCAGCAAGAAGCTTGGGGAGAAGGAGACTGTTGGTGCGATTATTCAGAAATGGAAGAAATACAATCGGCCTCGGTCTGGAGCTCCATGCAAGATCTCGCCTCATGGGGTAAGGATGATCATGAGAAAGGTGAGGGATCAGCCCAGAACTACACGGGAGGAGCTTGTTAATGATCTTGGGACCACAGTCACCAAGCAAACCATTGGTAACACACTACGCCGCAAAGGACTGAAATCCTGCAGCGCCCACAAGGTCCCCCTGCTCAAGAAGGCACATGTACAGGCCCGTTTAAAGTTTTCCAATAAACATCTAAATGATTCAAAGAAGGCTTGGGAGAAAGTGCTGTGGTCAGATAAGACCAAAATTTTGCTCTTTGGCATTAATACGACTCGCCGTGTTCGAGTTGCCAAATGACAGCCAAGAAACATTAAGGATTTAGAGAAGATCTGTAAAGAGGAGTGGACCAAAATCCCTCCTGAGATGTTTGCAAACCTGGTGACCAACTACTAAAAAACTGGCTGTTAAAAAAAAACACTTTCTTTTGTGTAATAAACCTTTTTCACATTGCCGGGTTTCTCAGCAGCGGACGTCATATCATAGTTGGGTTAACTTTGAAAGCAGTGAATGGGACAGTACCACAAAAAAAATGTTTTGCATTCCCATTTGCTCAAACAGCAAAAGAAAAACTCCACGATAATGTTTTCACGACTTTCAAAAAAAAGGAAAAAAAATTGAGAGCGACTGATAGCAGTCAGAAATTTCTGTCAAATTTAGCATTAGCGTTAACTAGTTCCCTTTCGATATTACACTCGTACTGCATCTGCTAGACGCATATGGGAAAAAAGCCATTTTCTCCTGAACTGAAGCCTTTTTCATTCACGAG